TATTTATTTATTTGAGAGAGAGCAAGAGAAAGCATGAGCTGGGTAAGAGGCAGAGGGAGAGGGAGAAGCAGACTCCCCACTGAGCAGGGAGCCCAATGTGGGGCTCGATCCCAGGACTCTGACATCATGACCTAAGCTGAAGGCAGACTCTTCACTGACTGAGCCACCCAGGTGCCCCAACTCATTCCTCTTTCTCATGCTTTATAGCTAATCATTCACCACATCCTTTCTTTTTTTTTTTTTAAAGATTTTATTTATTGAGAGAGAGAGAGCGTGTGCATGCACAAGCAGGGAAAGGGGCAGAAGTAGAGGGAGGGAGAGAATCCATACCCAGTGTAGAGCCTGACATAGGACTCAATCCCACAACCCTGAAATCATGACCTGAGCTAAAATCAAGAGTCAAATGCGTAACTGACTGCACCACCCAGGTGCCCCCTTTCACTACATCCTTTAGTGTTTACCTCTTAGATGACACTCAGATCTATTCTTCCTCTTCCATTTCTTTTCTGATCATCTGTTATTTGAGTCTGGTAACAGACTCTGAACTTGCTTGTCTGCCTTTGTTTTTTTCTCTACCAAATTTTTTTCTCTTATTTCACTTAGTTTACTCTAAACTTTTTTTTAAGAATTCAGATTCTATTTTTTAAGAATTCAGATATTTTATTTTATTTTTTTTAAAGATTTTATTTATTTGAGAGCAAGAGAGTGAGAGAGCAAGAGAGAGCAGAGCAGGAGGGAGGGGCAGAAAGAGAGGCAGGTTTCCTGCTGAGCAGGGAGCCTGACGTGGGGCTTGGCTTGATCCCACAGGTCTTGATCACAGGACCCCAGGATCATGACCAGAGCCGAAGATAGACGCTTAACTGACTGAACCCTACCCAGATGCTCCAAGAATTCAGATTTTAGATTTTTTTTTTTTTAAGATTTTATTTATTTGACAGAGAGAGACAGTGACAGAGGGAACATAAGCAGGGGGAGTGGGAGAGGGAGAAGCAGGCTTCCCGCAGAGCAGGGAGCCCGATGCAGGGCTCGATCCCAGGACACCGGGATCATGACATGAGCCGAAGGCAGACACTTAACGACTGAGCCACTCAGGTACCCCAGATTTTAGATTGTTGTACTTGCTTACTTAAAAATCTTTGATTGTCTAATCTTTACAAGGCAAGTTTAGAATATTAATGTGGTATACTCCATGAGAACCTTCACAGTCTGTTCTTACATTCTTATCAGTAGTGCAGTAGTTGCCTTGTTTCTTGCCAAAACTATTACCACATTTTTCCCCCAAATTTGATAATCAAAATGTTGTATATTTTTAATTAGGAAAATTGAACATTTTTTTATATCTCTATTGGGTATTTATTTTTTTGAGTGTCCTTATAGTTTAGTTTTTAATTAGCATTTTGTCTAAATAGTTCTTTTTAAAGAAAGCTATAAAAGTATAAAGAAAACGGAACAGTTCATCGGTTCTACCACTTGAATAACCTGTCTTAATATTTACAAAAATAAAATAGTTATACACAAACACACAGATTCATTAAATTGTTACATACATACATGTTAAAACAAAATAAAAACAGTTTAAAACTGCTTGAAAACAAGCTAGTATAGAAAGGTATATAATGAAGGTATACACCTCGGTCAGTGTACATTTAATAAAAGGCAATAATTTCTTCTGTGTTCTCCCCCCCAATTTTTTATGCATATACCATCAATAAAATCTTTTACAGAAAAGAAATCATGCTACATATGCTGTTTTGCTTTTTCACTTATTTCTTGCAGATCTTTTTATAACAACATATATAGATCTAGCTCATTACCACTCTTCAGTGCGCCCCCAGAGAAAAGCAGTCAGTCACTCCCATCTCTCCAGTCTCGGCTGCACTCGGTGCTCACCCGGCCTGTGACCGATTGTTTCTGTTTCTGGCTCACCATCCCGTGTGGAGTCTCCAAACCCAGCAGATCCCTGCTGTGTGCTCCCCCCGCGGCTCCTCCCAGGGGAGGAAGGGGAGTCTCCCCGGATCTGCCACTTGTTGGGTCCCTGCTGGAGGAGCAGTGGCCCTACTGTGCTGCGGATCATGGTTTATGGCAACCCTGAGCTGAGAGTCCACGCCTCGGCTCTGTCTCTGCAGCCGGCTTCCCCGCGCCGATACCTGGGAGCTCTGCTGCACTCAGGCACCCCCGGTCTTTCTGTGACCCCGAGGGTCCTGAGACCACACTGTTCCGCGAGGGTGGCCCCCCCCCCTTAGCCACTGGAGTGACGTCCCTCAGTGGAGCCGACTTCTAGAAGTTCCGATTTTGTGCTCCACGGCTCTATCACTTGCTGGTAGCAGCAGGCGGAGGCCCCCTACCCCGCCATCTATCTTCCCTGAATATCGCCTCAGACTCACTTCTCTGCACGTCCTACCTTCGAGAAAGTGGTCGCTTTTCTGTTCACAGTTGCTGCTATTGTTTTCTTCGATCTCCTGTTGAGTTCGTAGGTGTTCAGAATGGTTTGATGCCTATCTAGCTGAATTCCTGGGACCAGAGGGAATTTAGGTCTCCCTACTCCTCCGCCATCTTGCTCCTCCTCCTTTCTAGTGTTTATACCTTTCTTTGTTGTTTATTTCATTACATTAACTATAGCTTCCAGAATGTTGGTTGATTTCAGTGATTGAGCACATCTTTGTCTTGACTTGAGATTGTAAACTGTTCAGATATTTTCCTCTTTGTTTCGTATTTCTGTTCCTTATTACGTTACAGAAATATTCTTTGCTTATATAACAGTATTTTTAGGAATGGATATTTAATCAGATGCCTTTTCATTATCAAACAGGATGATGATATATTTTTCTCCTTTAATCAATTAATATTATGTATTAATATATTTTCTCATTTTGGCACATCTTTGCAATCTGGAGTAAATCTTACTTGTTCGTGATGTATTACATTAACATAATATTGTATTTGTTTTCTCAATATATTATTTAGGAGTTTTGCATCTGTATTCCTAGTGGCATTGGTTTTGTATAGTTGTCTTTTTTTGTACTGTCTTCATTAGGTTTTAGAATCAGGTTTAAGCTATCAAATGGGAGGAAATTTTTCACCTTTTATTGTCCTGCCACGGTCTATATAGTAAAGGAATTATCTTTAAGATTCTTTAAGCTTACTAGAACTTGCTCACAAAACTGGGCTACAAATTAGTTTTTAATAAATACTTAAAGTTTAGTGTGTTGGTATTTTTACAATGCCTTCTAAAACAAAAAATCTTTTTAAAAAATGCACAAAATATGGTGTGAATTGTGTAAGACTGATGAATCACAGACCTGTACCTCTGAAACAAATAATACATTATGTGTTAAAAAAAACAAAAAAGATAGTAGGAAGGGAAAAATGAAGGGGGGGAAATTGGAGGGGGGGAAATTGGAGGGGGAGACGAACCATGAGAGACTCTGGACTCTGAGAAACAAACAGGGTTTTAGAGGGGAGGGGAGTGGGGGGATGGGTTAGCCCGGTGAGGAGGGCACGTACTGAATGGAGCACTGGGTGTTATACTCAAACAATGAATCATGGAACACTACATCAAAAACTAATGATGTAATGTATGGTGACTAACGTAATGTAATAAAATTTTTAAAAAATGCATAAAAATACAGGTTTTGAGGTTTTAAACTATTCAAGTTCTTTATTGGATATAGGGACAATTCAGGTCATCTGTTTTTTCTTGAGTAAACTTTGGTTGTGTTTCAAGAATTTATCTGTTTCTCAGTTGTTGAATTTATGTGCATGGATTTTTTGTAATATTCTCGTATTATCCTTTTCATGTTTTAGTGTCTGAAATGGTTACCCTCCTTCATTCTGATATTTTTCTTTTTCTTTGTCAATTTGGTTGGAAGTTTATTTGCTTTATTGATCTTATAAAGAACCATGAAGAACTGCCTTTAGCATTTCTTTTAGAGCAAGTCTGTTGATGACAAATTGTCTTTGTTTCCTACAGCTGAAAATGTTTTTATTTCACTGTTATTCCTGAGGGATGTTTTTGTTGTTTATAGAATTGTACGTTGCCAGTTCTTTTCATTTTTCACTTTTCAGAATGTTCTACTGCTTTCTGGCTTCCATAGTTTCTGATAAGAAATTCTGAGTCCCTGGATCATTCTTCTTTATGTAGTATGCTGTTTTATTCTGGTTGCTTTCAAGACTTTTTTTCATCACCTTGGATTTTCAGCACTTTGATTATGGTGTGTCTGGATGTGGATTTCTTTGAATTTATTTCTTTTTGCTAGATTCAGCCATTATTTCTTCAAGTATGTTTTCTACTCCATATCCTTTCTTCTTTTTTTCAGGGGCTCAGATAACACAAATTTTATAGTTTCTGATATTGTCCTGTGGGTTCCTGAGACTCTGTTTATTATTTTTTTTATTTTTTAATTAATTTATTTTTACTATTATTATTTTTAAAGATTTTATTTACTTGAGAGAGAGAGGGCACACAAGCAGGGGAGAGGGGTAGAGGGAGAACCACACTTCCCACTGAGCAGGGAACCCGATGTGGGGTCCATCCCAGAGCCTTGGGATCATGACGAGCCAAAGGCAGACACTTAACTGACTGAGCCACCCAGGTACTGCTCTGTTTATTATTTTTTAGTCTTTTTTTTCTCTCTGTTGTTTAGATTGCATGATTTGTAGCCTCAAGTTCTAGGATTCTTTGGTCTGTCATCTCCAATTAGCTATCTATTTATTTAAAAGATTTTATTTATTTATTTGACAGAGAGACACAGCCAGAGAGGGAGAACACAAGCTGGGGGAGTGGGAGAGGGAGAAGCAGGCTTCCTGCTGAGCAGGGAACCTGAC